GTGCTTGAACTAAAAGTTATGGTAGTTTGGCCTGTTTGTGTTTGTGCTGTTGATGAGGCTAGGGGAGTAGATATTGAACTTAGTGTAGATGGTGTTTGTGTTGATGTTGTACTTTCAACTGTCTCCATTGCTGTTGTAATAGCTGTCGCTGATGTGATTCTTGTACTAGTAGTTGCTGTAGTCATGGTTAATGTTGTGTTTCCATATGTTCCTGTTGCTGCTGTTATGCTCATTGTGATCGAGACAGTTGAGCTTCCTATTTCTGCGGTCGCAGTTGATATTGTTGTTGTTGCTTCAGTGGTTTGTCCCTGTGTTATGGATTGTGCAATTGTGCTTGAGAATAATGTGTTGGTTACTGTTGAACTCGTACTTGAAAATGTTGCTGATGTCATACTTTCTGAAGTTCCTTGTGAAGATTGTACATTTTCAGTTAGTAGACTTGTTGTAACTATCGACGATGTTCCAGTTCCACTTGTTTCACTAACTATAGTGACGGGAGCAAATGTTGAATAATTGGTAGAAAGTTGACTTTCAGTTACAGTCGATTCTGTTAACGTAATTGAAATTTGTGTTAGACTTTCACTAGTTTGTACCGTGCTTATTGTAGTAGTACTGGAAATACTTGATAGTGTTAAAGGAGTGATGGATGTTGGCAAATAAATTGTAGTTGATTGAACAAAATTTCGACAGTATTGACCCGCATAATTTGGATAGCATACACATCCAGTATTGTCGCCAGTACAATTACCTGTGAAAGCATATTCACATTCTTTACATGCTGGTGTGACTGTTGTGAAATTTACTATAAGAACAAAAAAAGGTTACATTTATCAATCTTTCATGATTTTTGAAGAAGAGTACTTACGAAAATCTGTCGTTGCTGAGTTCATAATTATTCTTACAGTCAAGCGATAACTATCATTTAAACTAACATTATTCGTGAAGAAACCATTCACAAGTTCTATACGTTGCGGAATATCGAGAAATACATTTAACGTAACTGAATATTCAACATCAGGAAGTGCAACACTGTAATATTTAATGACAAGATAATCATAAAGAATGTTTTTTTTTTGAATTAAAGAAAATTTACCTAGTTTGGCTCACTTGTATACACGTGTCATTACAAGTTATGTTCATTCCAGACAGAATTAAAGCTACCTAAAAAAAATTATCAATCATATAAATATCAGCTTACAATTATTATAAATCGATTATCATACTTCATTTTCGATAGTAGATGATGGTGGTGAGCCAATAAAAATCTGTCGACGCATCCGTGACCTGCCCGTCATATAGTTAAAATAAAGAAAAAATAATGTACCGTTTTGAAAACTTTGAGTTGTTGTTTCAGTGGAGCTTGTTGTAACCGTAGATTCAGTAGAAGTGCTAGTTTCGATTTGTGCGGTGAATGATGTTTCATTGTTTATACCAACAGAAGTAGATGTAGATGATGACTGACTGGTAGTACCGGTTTCAGTTGTTGTTGCCGATGATGAGATTTCTGATTGAGTTACTGTGGAAAAGCCTGTGCCTTCAGTACTTTCCAACGCTTGAGTAGAACTTTCAGAGGTTGATGTAATCGATGATGACGAACTTGATTCGGATGTAGACATAGTTTCAGTTGATAGCTCATTTGAAAGAGTAGTCGAACTGCTAGTCTCAGTAGTACTCATCGTAGATGACGTTAATGATGATGAAGTGTTCTCAGATTCAGACACTGTATATATTCCAGAAGTTTCAGTAGTTTCAATTGGAGGAATACTTTCGGTAACGACTGCAACAGTCGTAGTAGACGACTCTGTAATGATTTGGGAAGTTTCTACTGACGGTTGAGTGACTACACTTGATGAAATTACAGTCGATGTTTCTGTAGTTATTGTCGATTGCGATTCAGACATTGACATTGTTTCCGTTCCTTCGGTAGTTGTAGTTGAAGTGGCATTGAATGCTGTTTCGGAAATAGTTGCTAAAGAAAAAAAAATTATCTTTCCAGTACAACGTCTATGATACTATCAACTCAGAAAAAATCTATGTATGTCCTAGGATACTTTCTGGAAGAAAGCTAATATCGATAGTTTATCTTGAAAAATTACTTGTCTCAATTGAAGTCGCTGTTGTCTCCATTTCTGTCGGTACTTGAGTGGTTATTTGCGAAGTATTTGCAGCAGAAACAGATGTTGTTTCAATTGATAACATTTCAGTAGTACTTTCAGAAGCACTTGGAACAGTTTCTGTTACCAATGATGTTGCAGTAGAGCTTGGAAATAATGAGACAGTTGTCGATGTTTCTGTTAGGCTGAACGCTTCCGTTTCTGCTAAAAAACAAAAATATTATTACCTCCCACAATGATGTCTAAAAGAAAATCTTCAAAACATATGTGAAACGAAAACTTAGCTACATTAAAATGTGCACCAAAACAAAATCACTAATCTATACCTGACGTTGTCGATTGTTCTTGAACTGTTTCTAGTGAGTATAATTGCCTTGTAGATGCTTCAGTCATCGTGGCTGTTTGTGATACACTAGTAGATTCAGATACCGCTTCAGATGTTCCCATACTTTCTGCTTCAGTTCCAGTAGCTGCTTCACTTGAAGATACTGCAACAGTAGACACTTGGGTCACAGTTGCTGTTTGGAATTCAGTCGTCGACCCAGTCACCGCTTCCAATGTTGTTCCAGCTGTCGTTTCAGTACCAACAATTGTTTCTGTTGAAGAGGCTTGACCACTAGATCCTTCAGTTGCTGTGATAGTTTGTGATTCTGTCGTCGATTCAGTTGCACTTTCTGATGTTACCATTGTTTCTGTTTCAGTTGTAGCAACCGGTTCAGCAGAAGGAATTTGGCTAGTTGAAGTCTCCGTTACAGACACTGTCTGTGATTCAGAAGTTGATTGACTTGTCATAAGCGATGTTATCATTGTTTCTGTTTCAGTGACAGGACTAGTTGCCGTTGAAGAAGTTTGACTAGCTGGCCCTTCGCTAACGGTGCTAGTTTCGCGTTCAGTAGACGATTCGGTTGGTATTTCCGATGTTCCTATACTCATTGTTTCAATACCAGTGACGACTTCCGTAGAATAGATTTGGCTAGTTGAACTTTCCGTTACAGTCACTGTCTGTGATTCAGAAGTTGATTGACTTGTCATAAACGATGTTATCATTGTTTCGGTTTCAGTGATAGGACTAGTTGGTCCTTCGCTAACGGTGACAGTTTCTGGTTCAGTAGACGATTCTGTCGGTATTTCCGATGTTCCTATACTCGTTGTTTCAATGCCAGTGACGACTTCCGTAGAATAGATTTGACTAGTTGAACTTTCGGTCAC